TTCAAAATAATAAGAAAGAATTTTGTATGAGTACATGAAAGAATGAATATGGTTCTAAAATTATGGATGAAAGTTGAGATTTCATTCTAAAAATTCGGAATCTATCAAACTAGCTTAATGAGAATCAAGATTCAAAACTGAACATTGGTAACATTGAAGAGCTTAAAAACATATATTCAGATATAAAGGGTATTAAGAATTAAAAGGAAATACCAGAATATGCAGGAAATGTTAAAGTTTGAAAATGCGAATGAAGTTAATAATGAAGTAAAATAGTAGGATAAGTCATGGTAAGAGTACTACAGAATGATAAATTGTAGAATTGGCAAATTAAAATAGTACTATAAAATATGGACTAAGTAAGGGACTATTCAACGAATTGGATATGAATAACAGTTAAAGGTTGTAAAATAAAATGCTTAATTGAAATCGATCTCTATTTTTAAGAAATTTAAGCATGTTAATTTAGCTGAAATAGTAAAATCAACAAGCGCAATTACAATCAAAAATTATAAAACAGAGTTAAACTTTAGAGTATGTTGGAAACTAGAAAGAAAACCCAGTGCCAGAAAAGTATAAAAATTACATCTAAAATTAACTAAAGTTTCATGCGTATGTATGGTAGGAAAATGTAATAAACAAGTTCAAAATTAGAGTACTTTAAAAATTAAAATACGAAAGTATAAAATGTACGAAACATGTTAAAAATAATATCTAAAATTAAATAAAGCTCATATACATGGTAAGAAAATAGAGGAATTAAGCTAAAATTAGGAGCCTGTTTGAAATTAGGAAGGTTAAAACGTATGAAAGTCGTTACAAATTAAAGGAAAGTCATGTGAAAATATAAGAAATTAGTTAAAATTCTTAGTATGTTGAAAACTAAAAGCGATAAAAAATAGAAAAGGAGTTAAAATTTACATCTAGAATTAAATAAGTCAGGTATATGGTAGAAAAATGTAATAAGCAAGTTCAAAATTAGAGTACTTTAAAAATTACGAAGGTTTAAAATGTACGAAACAAGTTTAAAATTACATCTAAAATTAAACAAAATTCATATATATGGTCAGAAAATATAGGAATTAAACTAAAATGTAAAGTTTATTTGAAATTACGAAGTTTAAAACATATGAAAGTAGCAATAAATTAAATGAAAGTCATGTACATAGTGTAAAAAAATATAGCAAATTAGTTTAAAATTCAGAGTATGTTGGAAACTAAAGACACGTTAAAATATAGAAAAGAAGTTAAAATTTACACATAAAAATTAAATATAAACGTCAGGTATATGATGAAAATGCAGGAAATATGTTAAAATTAGGACTATATTGGAAATCATGGAGGTTAAAATGTATGGGAGAAATCAAGTAAAAGTCATGTATATAGTGTGAAAATATAAAGTGGTTAAAAATTTGAGTATATTAAATAGTGTGGAGGTTAAAATGTACAAAACAAGCTAGAAATGTTACATCTATAATTAAATACAAGTCATCTGTATGATTAGAAAATGTCTGAAATAAGTTAAAATAGAGAATATGTTGAAGATCGCTAACGTTGAAAAGAACGAAAAAAGTTAAAAATTACATCTAACATTGAATAATATAATACACGAAAATGCGTGTTTTAGTAATTACACTCATAAAATATAACGAATAAGTCAAAAGTATTGCCTAACAAGTCTGAAAAATCTCTAGGTAAAATGAATTTAAGAACAAAAATGAGTAATGTAATGAAGATTACGGAAAGTATATGTGATATTATGAACAGAAGATTTAAGAAATAAGGTAAAATTCTGAGTGTATAGGATCACTCAATCATTAAATTCGAAAATAATCCTCGTTCAGGGTAACTAGGAGATAATCAATACGAAGAAAAAACACAAAGGCTAAAAATTTATTAACGAAGGGAAATCACCTCCGATAAATCAGTAAAATATAATCTCTTATTAAATTGTGATGACATGTAGCAGTTTTTCAGATATTCAGTCATAGGATAAATAAAAGTAAGAAAATAATTATCTTCGGAAGAGGTTATACTGTGAAGGAAACATTTTATTATATGCTAATATCTGTTTCAAGATAATAACTGTATCAGTCACTTAAAACACCTACTTGATATACGTTTTTAAGAACTCAATATAAATAAGCAAGTTTACAAATTATCATATAAATACTAAATGCCTAAATCACCAAATTAAAAAAAGAAAAGAATCTAAGCACACGTCCTTTTTCTGTGACGTAGCAACTACTCTACTCCCATCCACCTCCTGATAAGGCTCCCTGTCCCCATTTTCAGATAAGCCTCCCTTCCATGGCTGAGCCTTCCTTCTCAGAAGCTCCCTCAACTCCAGATCCCTAAGATCCCTGGCTCAGAACTCTCATTTTTTCTCTACTAGTGTTTGTCAAATTATTGCGTATAAATTAAAAGTAGGCATGTTTAATGTTTAACTGTAAATCAATTATGTTTCAAGAAGTATCTTTAATGAATCGTATAGAAAATTGTGGGTGAGGTGCTAGGCATACAGAAACATGGTATATAATAAACATGTACAGTATCTCATGGTATATAATCTCCTCACTTTGATTATGCAGTACGCTTTGTATATTATCTCTGAAAGCATGTATATTTCAATCAAGATTGTGGAGTAAATTATACTTATTTTATGATAAAACTCCACACCTGTGTCGAGGAAATCTACAATGGCATTCATGAATGACAAGTTTCTATCTATTACAAAAAATCTAGTTGTTTTCTGGATTCTTCTTTTCCTCCATAAAAAAAAAAAAAAAAAAAAAAAAAAAAAAAAAAAAAAATGGCATAAATTAATTATAACAGATGTAAATTGAGATGTCTCATACAAAGAGTTATTATTTTTAATTCATATCAAAATCATCAGTTATTGAGAGCATTATATATGTAGAGATCAACGACCAATGCTGACTTAGCGAATTGCCAGCAATGACGTCATCACAGCAAAGCTCAGCGCGAAGCATTCCAGACAGCGTCAGATAGCATCCAAACGTGGACGAGAGTGGAGTAGGAGATGTGAGCAGACGGCTCGCTTTTCTTCAAGAGTTGAAGAAGACAGACGGTCTTCTTTTGGAATTTTGGGTCTTCTTCGTGCCTTTGTTACTTAATACAAGCTGAACATACTATTTAAAGATAGCTGTGGACTAACGTATTCTATCAACGCCCGTGGAGCTAATATTGTCTGTGATTGTGCATCATTACATGAATCCTGCAACATTAATTTTACTTACATTTCATTTTTTTTACCTATTCCTTATTATTAAATAAAAGCATTTTAAAATGCAGCGTTCGTGCTCTATCTCTGATTTAAAAGAAAACCCCACATATACAAAGTATATCTTTTATTAAGAACTATAACCCAAACTACCATAAACAAAAGACTCACTTGGCCCTTTTTAAATAGTTTTAATTAACAAAACGCAATTAAGATAAAACATTACAATTAAGGGCGTTATTTTTACGTACACATTTAAGCTACAAAGTAAATCTCGGGGAACAACATCTCGGAGGAACAGCATGCTTAGTTTATGACTCCCGCACATCGACTGACGGCCATAGTCCTTATTGGCTGGTGTTTTTCCCGACGGCCGCTAAGTGGCGCTCGTTGAATCTGGGTTACAGATTCCCCCTTTGGCTCGTACGACGTCTCGGCGAAGAGCCAGAAATATGGTTCTTTGGTCTGAAACAGGCAGTTCATACGCGCGTAAGGCTGAGCTGTGATAAGTCCCAAGGACTTCATCTGGCTTATCTGGATCAGCAATATCATATCATACGTAGTGGGTGAACGATTGGTTATCACTAAATAAGGTCCTTCACGTCTAGGCATGAATTTTTGGCACTTTCTATTTTGTGATCTGCAAATAGAATGTAACATCACCCATACTTTATCACCTGGGTTCGTAAGAAACCTTTCGACGTCGACGATCGTAATATACTTTTTTCTTTTCTTGCTTCTGTTCGACGTGGTTTTTAATCTCTGCAGTTAAACAGGCAAATCGTTTGAGATATGAGGTTATCTCAGCCACGAAGCTATCATTATCAGTTAATGTTCTTAGGTCGTGGGTAACATCATCTGTTGTTCTTATTCTCTGCCAAACTGCAAGAAAGTGGCTGTGTGATTAGTGGTTTCACACTAGGTAGTGTTCATGTAAAAACATATCAGTGGCAGTTTTTCTTCTCAGGAATTGTGTTCATCTCTGACCAGTATGACAAGTCGAGGCTTTAAGTTCCTATTCTTACGTTCTAATGCGTTTGCTTGAGGATGATACACAGGAATAAGGTTTTGCTTAATTTCGAGAATCTTGCAAATTTGTTGCACTTATGAATTGTGGCCCGTTATCACTTATGAATCTAAATGGAAGTCCATATCGTAGAAAAACTTCTTCGACTAAGGTTTTGGCGCAGTTGACAGCTGTTTCTTCTTTAAGGGCAAATAGTTTTATCCATTTTGTACTGGTATCTTCTACGATAAGAATCCAGTTCTTACCAGATGAGGTCTCTGGAAGAGGTCCAAAAAAATCAATAGCTAGAGTTTCGAACCTTTGGGCGTAAACTGGAGTTCCAAGAAGACCGGCTGGCTTCTGATTAATCGGTTTGTAACGATTACTTTCCGGAAAATTCTTAACATATTCAGAGATATATTTGCGCATTCCTGTAAAATAGTACCTAGAGGCAACTTTATTGTAAGTTCCTTCAGCCCTATAGTGTCCAGCCATCGGAGAGTCATGGTGCTCTTGTAGCACTCTTTCTCTTTCCTGGATAGGGACTACGAGTTGGTCTTCCTCTGTTTCTACTTCTGGTGAGTAACGATACAGAACATTATGATTCATAAGATAACCTCTGCTAATCCAGTTTGCGAAGTTTTCATCTTTTGAAGCGCTTTAGAAGCAGTGAATTATTTTTTTTAGTTCTTCGTCCTTCAACTGTTCTTCTCGAATTTTTTGGACTTTCTTACCGAAAATCGGCTGATAATGCAAATCAGTCACAAGGGACATCTTCATTTACATTCGAGGGTATAGACAACATTGTTGAATTTCAAAACAATGTAGTTTGTATTTTGTATTTACTTTTCTTTAATTTTATACTTATAACTAGCAGCTTCGCTGCCAGCCTTCGTCTGGCTTAAATGTACCGGAAAAATGGCTGAAGGGAACACCAAACGTTACATTTAAAAACTGCATAGAATTTTACTCTGCAGAACAACTTCATAAAAAACAGTTATTACGTATAACGAAATTACAATGAAATAAGCAATATCCCTTAATACAAATATTAATTAGCCTAATAAATAAATTAACCAACTTCCCTTTGCAAAATCGCAAGAACTCAAATGGTATAAAGGAGGTTAAGAACTTTGTTTCCTAAAAAAATCACTCAAAACTTTTTAATTTCTTAAAAACAGTGAAATGAGCAATAAATAACATATTAGAATGAAAAAAAAAATTCTTAAAAGCAAAGTATAATTAATAATATTTTATCTTATATTTTCAAGAGAAAAAAATTACAATGAAATAAGCTATATATCCCTTAATACAAATATTAATTATCCTAATAAAAAAATTAACCAACTTTCCGTTGAAGAAAAAAAATCATGCAAAATTTTTCAATATCTTACAAACAGTGAAATAAGCAAAAAATAACATGAAAGCAACTCAAAAAACATAAAATTCCGCGCAGAATTTTACTCTGCACAACAACTTTAAACACACACACACACACAAAAAACACACAAAAAAAAAAAAAAAAAAAAAAAAAAAAAAAAAAAAAAAAAAAATCAATAAAAATGTATTATATATATAAATGACAATGAAATATGCCAATCTCTTAAAAACAGTTACATAAGAAATATGATGAAAAATTGTTGCCAAACCCATATTTCTAAAAGAATAAAACTATTCAAAATGATGCGATTTCATCAACAATAAGACGGGAAAATTGTTGCCAAAATCGCATTTTCAAAGATGTGAGATGTGAGAAGTGTACTCAGAAGCTTCAATTAAAAAATATTTTTAAAATACAAAATATTATCATTTTTCCAAAATTCTTTTTGTAAAAGCAGTCGGAAGGATGAAAGTTTAACGTGTTCAAAAATCAAAGAAAAATAAACTGTACATTTTTAAAAATAAACTTTTTTAGAAAAAATCCCGTTGAAAAGGTGTTAAGCTCCTTTGTTAAATAAATTCGTATTTAATCCATTTATTGAAACACGAAATTTAAGTTCGTAAAATAGCTAAGTGCCTACGTTTCATGACGATGTAAAAATGGAGTGTGTAGAGTAAAATCTCGCTTTCCTGTAGTCCATTATGTCTCAAAATGACGCGATTTTGTCACAAAACATAAAATAAGAAAAATTCGAATTTCGAAAAAATCGCTTCGAGGTGCACTGGCTTTTGTCTAGGTGCACCTATGTACCAAATTTCGTAGCCGTGGGTCTATTAGCTTACGCGCAGAGCAAACGAAAGACACACACACACAGACAGACTCTTTCTTTTATTATATGTAGAGATTTTACAATACTTATTACTTTTACTTTTTGGCCACTAATAATTGTTGTTAGTTTGGTTTCTTGGAAGTGGCAGCAGGGCAATTCATAGAATTAGGAAAATATGCTCTGTAGTTAGTTAGGCTTATTGAAGATTAATTGTATGTTATATACCTGAATATATACCTGAGTGATGTTTTATTAAATAAATGAATTCTTTAGAATATAGTAGTCTCTTTAGAGTCCGTGATACGCTGGTAGAATAATAGTTTGACGCGTAAGCGAACATTTTATTGGTACCCTCGGCGGGACATAAGAGACGTTAGTTTGGAATTCTAAAGTATAAAAAGGGAAGCTAAAGAAGCTATTAAACTTGAAAGGAAGATTCACAGAGCTGCTTTTACAAAAGCCTTCAATGTTTTAGAAGAAATTTTAAAGAAAAGTGATATAAATTCTTCTGAATTACAGTCGGAGCTTAATGTTTTTGTTTCGAAAGTTCAACGTTTGGAAGATACGCACGTACGTTACCTTAGCACACTGTCCGGAAATGAAATTGAAGCAGAATTCGATGTTATTGAAGATTATCGTGACAAGGCCGTTAGAATCGAAACTAAAGTGAAAGATATTCTTCAGAATCTACAAAATGTAAGTACTTCAAATTTTATTTTGAATGAATCTGTTAATGAGAATGTATGTAAACGTACATTTAAACTTCCAAAGCTTGAATTACGAAAATTTGATGGTGAAATTAAGGAATGGTTATTTTTTTGGAGTCAGTTTGAAAAAATTGACAAAGATACTACGATTTATGATAGTGATAAATTTCAATATTTATTACAAGCGACTGTTGAGGGTTCGCGTGCAAGGAAGGTTATAGAAAGTTTTCCCCCTACATCTGCTAATTATCCCAAGGCCATAGAATGTTTGAAGGCTCGTTTTGGTCGAAATGACTTGCAAGTGGAAGTTTATGTGAGAGAATTGTTGAAATTGGTCCTGAGAAATGCAAATTCTAGTAATTCTTGTAATAACCTATGTGCATTATACGATAATTTGGAACAACAAATTCAGGCTCTGGAAACCCTTGGCGTCACTACAGATAAAAGTGCTGCATTGCTTTATCCTTTAGTTGAATCTTGCTTGCCTGAGGATTTTTAAGAGCCTATCAAAGAAGTGCAAATGTTGACCATGGTTCAGACCCAAAATGTAGACTGACCAGTTTATTAAAATTTTTGAAATCGCATTTTTGCAATCGCATTTGAAATTTTTGAACGCATAAGTTTAGCTCTGGCTGGTTTCGGTTTGAAGAACGAAGTGACCTGGAGGATTAAATCTATTAAAACTGTTCTCGATCGACCATCTACGGCAGCAAGTTCGTTGAGTACTGATTCTCCCGTTAAGAAATGCGTGTTTTGCTGCTGAAAAGATGATTCATTTAATTGTTTTAAGGCTCAAAAATGCCATTTTCAGAGAGGCATAAACTCTTAAAAGATAAAGAGCACTGCTTTCGCTGTTTAAAGGCTGGTCACTGTGCAAACAAATGCAGGAGTTCTATTAAATGTGCAATTTTCCATAAAAATCACAGCGTAATTGTGTGTTTAGAAGTGCTTAAAAACAAAACAAATGTTAAGAAGCCTATGTTAAACAGCAATGAAAAAGAAACTAGCAAGGAAGAAAGTTCAACAAATCTTTCTAGTGTTAGCAATACACCACAAGTACTTTTGCAAACCCTGAAAGTAAAATTAATTGGAAATAATTATATACTTTGTGTTCGAGCTTTATATGACACAGGATCGCAAAAATCATATTTAAGGAAGGATTTAATTTCTACTCTAGGCTTGATACCTTCTAGACAACAGATTTTGAGCCACGCCCTGTTTGGAGGAAAACGAGCTCCTAAAAATGTGCATAATGTCTACAAAATTAAGCTAAAGAGTTTAGACGATAGTTTTACTTGTACTTTTTATATTTATAAGCAAGATACAGTTTGTGATGCTGTACCTTCCGATTTAAATAGGCCATGGATTAAAGAGCTCCAGTCCATGAATATACCATTTTATGACACTGAAGATTCATCAGCGCCTATTGATCTTTTAATTGGTGCAGATGTGGCTGGTTGACTTTCACCGACAGAAAAAGAGTACTTTCTAGTGGTATTGTAGCCATAGAAACTTACCTGGGCTGACATTGATCGGTAAAACATCAGGGAATGCTGAAAGGGAAGATACGGCGATGACGGTTGTAACAATGTTTGTTCTAAGATGCCAATATTCCTGACCTTTCTTCCTTAGATAGCTTAGAAATATACGATACAGTGGAAGTAAAATCACGAAAAGAAAAGGAATTTATTATGAAGAAATATTTTCAAGAAAGACTAAAAATTAAGGATGATATGCGGTACGAAGATACCTTACCGTGGAAAGGTGATCATTTGCCTCTCCTCACCAGCAAAGATATAGCGATAAGAAGATTTGAAGTCTCAACAAAAAGGCTGAATTCAGAAAAATTATTTGATACCTATGATGATTTCTTTAAACAATGGACTGAATTGGGAATAACAGATGATGTCACAGATGCGCATTCACAACTTCTTGGGATCCAGAATCCAGCTGATTTGCCTTCTCGAGGATGTTCCGCTAGACAGCTGTTATCAAGCAAATGGTGGGAGGGACCCACTTGGTTATTAGAATCATTATCTAACTGGCCTGTCACAGAACAAAATATTGATGACCATTCTATAGCTAAGGAAAAGAGACAAACAAAATCTGATGGACACTCTTCTATCTGTTCTCCAAGTTACTCAAACACTTGTAGCCGCAAAACTGATGAAAAGAAAAATAATGGATACAGACATTACGGATCAAGTTGGTACAATAATTATTTTTCAAGCTATGACAAAGTGATACGGTTGATTGCTTGGATAAAAAGATTTAATTATCTAAATGCAAATTCTTCACGAATTATTGACGAGTTTTCTTTGGGTGAACTGACAAAATATAAAATCAAGAAAAAGAAATTGTGGCCTCATCCAAATATAGTTGAAATGTTTTATGCTTTTGCTGATCAAACACCTTTACTTCCTGGTGCCTTCACCAACTATCCCCAACTATTCCTATTCGTCTTCTGAGTGATGGATGTGGTAGGAATATGACTCCGTTTCTTGTTATGAAGAGATACAATTGCAGTGTAAAAGAATATTTGAAAAGAATAGATGTTTCTGGTCACAGAGCATTGCGACTGCTTACTCTGCTTTTGAAAGTTCTAACTTTTTTCAAAATGATATTACTCATCGAGATTTAAAGACTGACAGTACTTTATCAGATTTCCAGTACGGAGCTCCCTTTCCTAGACTTGCAGTAACTGACTTTGGATGCTCTCTTGAAGGCCTCTATTTGGTTTACAATTCATATGATTCTGAGAAATATAGCATTAATGATACCAGACGTTGTAAATACTGAAGCAGGTTCTTTCTCAGTGATTGATTATTCGAGATCAGATTTATGGACACCAGGAACGTTAGCAAATGGAATATATAGAGGAGCCAATCCTTTTCGTTCGATAAATTCTTTTTTGAAAAATGACTCATATGATGAAAGTGATTTACCTCCTCTTCCATCAAAAGCACCACCAGTAATACAGAAATTGGTCAGAAGTATTCTTCATAAAAACCAGGAGTGGATGACAAGTCAGGACTATCCAAAGACTAGACTTATAGACTTTATAATGTTTGGACTTTAATTCAGTTCTTTTATGTTTTTCCATTAAGTTTTCTTTAATATTTCTAATAGGTTAAGTTGTTTTCCAACAACTAAAGGTGGGAAGATGTTGGATTCAAAACAATGTAGTTTGTATTTTGTATCTACTTTCCTGTAATTTTATACTTAGAATTTTACAATACTTATTACTTTTACATTTTGGACACTAATAATTGTTGTTAGTTTGGTTTCTTGGAAGTGGTAAAAGAGTAATTCATAGAATTAGGAAAATATGTTTCTGTGGTTAGTTAGGCTTATTGAAGATTAATTCTGTGTTATATACCTGAGTGATGTTTTATTAAATAAATGAATACTTTAGAATATAGTAGTCTCTTTAGAGTCCGTGATACGCTGGTAGCGTAATAGTTTGACGCGTAAGCGAACAAACACGCCTGCAAGCACATTAGCTTTACTAGGCGTATACTCAATGTTTGGATTATAGGACTGAATCTGAAGAGCCCATCTTGCCAAACGACCTGATGTTGACTTAATGCTCATAAGCCATTTTAATGGCTGGTGGTCAGATGCTATAATTATTTCTTGATTTTCGACGTAACCTTGAAATATCTCCAGAGCCGAAACTACTGCAAGTGTCTCACGTTCAGTAGTGGAGTAATTTCGTTCTGCTGGTGTGAGCAGATGATTGGCATACTCAATAACAGGTTCTACTGGGCCTTCTCCTTGAAGAAGGACTACTCCTAGAGCGTAACTGCTAGCATCTGTGCGGATAAGAAACGGCTTCGATCCATGCGGTTATTTTAACACAGGGGGTGTTATTAATCTTTTCTTCAATTTTTCAAAAGCTTCTTGCTGTTCAGTGCCACAAAACTATTGTACACCCTTTTTGGTAAGAATACTAAGTGGTCGTGCAATGGTTGCAAAGTTTGGAACATATCTTCTGAATCATGAGCAAGTTTGCAGAAAGGACTGAACTTCTTTTACATTAGTTGGCACAGAGACTCTCTGAATAGAGCATACTTTTTCAGGGTCCACTTCAATTTCATTCCTGGTTATCCAGTAATCTAAATATTTAATCCGGTCACATGCAAAATGACATTTTTCTCTGTTAGCCTGGAGTTTAAACAAAGAAAGTCTCTCGAAAACAGTTCGTAAATCTCTTACATGTTGATCTAAAGTCCCTGATAAAATAATTACATCATCTAAATAAGACAAAGCAAACATATCCTTTAGGCCTGCTTAAAATTTGTCAATCAGGCGTTGAAAAGTTGCGGACGCATTTCGTAATCCGAAAGGCATGCGCAAATATTTATATGTCCCAAATGGGCAAATGAAAGCTGTTTTATCTTGATCAGCTTCATGTATTTTGACCTGATGATAGCCTGATTTAAGATCGATGGTTGACATATAGGCCGTTGACTTTGCTTCTGTGAGAAGATCGTCCATGCGTGGTAAAGGGTACTTGTCTGCAATAGGAGTGGCATTTAGTTTGCGATTGTCGACGCAAAGTCTTATGGTACCATTCGGTTTAGGAACCAAAATAACAGGACTGGCATATGAAGATTCACATTCTTCGATTATACCAGCAGCTAGGAGAGAATCTAATTCTTTTTTCAGTAATTCTCTTTTTTCAGGATTCATTCTGTAAGGAGGTTCTGCAACTGGTGGACTATTTCCAGTATTAGTACGATGTTCACTATATGGGGTTGAGTTTCCTCTGGTTCGAAGCAACTCTTGAATTCTTGCAGTAAAAGACTTAGATGAGTACGTTGTTCTGTACTTAGATGCTCGATTTCGTCGCTTCGAAGATTTATAAGATATTTCTTGCACTTCCCTAGCGTGTCTTCGTGGTGTAACGGTAGCACGCTGGGCCGGTATAGCAGAGGTCCGTGGTTCGATTCCCGACAAAGGCGGTTGCATATGTTTCATCTTTTCTGCTTCCAATTAGCCAAATGACTCTACAAGTGGCGCCCGTACTAAAAAGGGTTGTGGATGATGATTCTCCCCACCCAGGATTTGGCCACTAGGTCCCCTAAAACCCTAGTCGCCCTTTAAAAAGGTGAGTATATAAGGTATTTCTCCCACTTCCCTAGCGTGCCTTCGTGGTGTAACGGTAGCACGCTTGGCCGGTATTCCAGAGGTCCGTGGTTCGATTCCCGGCGAAGGCGGTTGCACACTTTTCATCTATTCTGCTTCCAATTAACCTAATGACTCCAAAAGTGACAGATTTGCTGAAGAGGATGTTTCGAAAACTTTAAATGAATTGGTCATTTCTACAGTCCTTGTCTGAGAGTCAGAAATGGAGGTAGAATTTTCCGCCTTGGAAATCATCTTGTAGAAAAGGTATTGGACGTGAGGATTTTCACAGAAATACCAAGTACCGTTGAGGACATCTAAGACAATCTCAGCAGATTGGAGAAAGTTTTTTTTCGTGCATTTTTAAGA